AGAGAGAGAGAGAGAGAGAGAGAGAGAGAGAGAGAGAGAACAAGAGGCAGGAGCAGCAGAGACAAAGGAGGGGGGAAGCAAGGGAGGACCCTGCCCAGCCTCCGTTTCGTGATTCCCCCTCCAAACCTGCCAGCTCCTTTTCCCCTCTCCCCCCGTCTTCCCCTCTACTCTCCCCCTCCCCAATTGTCTTCCCTGCCCCCCTCAGTCTCTCTTTTCCTGCCCCATGCTCCAGACCTCATTCAGCACACCACCCAGGTGACATTTTGAAACATCTTCCCTACATAAATCATGGAGTTGTGCATCAATTTTTAAAAAATCTTTCATTTGGTTTATAGAGTTAAGCATAGATAAATAAGGATAATTAACTGGAGGGGAACTGATCAAACTTTGGAGCGGGATGTGAGAAGGAATGCAGAAATTAATATGACTTGCTGCTTTTAGTGAAGGCTTGTAAAAAGACCCCCATCACTCACTCTTTCTTGTCCTTTTTCACATGTGTTCCCAGCCATTATAAAATAATTGTAATTGGAAAGGAATTTGGAGTAGTTTGAGAGTGGGATCAAAATTAAACTATTCAGTTTATTTGGATGGAACATGAACTGCACAGCTCTGCAAAAGGACAAGCCATGCTGGATCAGACCAAATGTCCATCTGGTCCGGCCCTCCACACATGGTGGCAGAACAGCTGCCCACCGGATTCCTCGAGCAGGACGGGTGCAAGGCGCCCCCACCTGCAGGCAGGCAGGCAGCCTGTGGCCGGCGAGCCTGAAGCCACGGACAGGCCCTCCTCCACAAGCCTGCCCAGTCCCCTCCCTTTTTAAAGCGACCCACACTGGTGCTCGTCACCACGTCCGTGGCAGTGAATTCCATAGCTTAATGGTACGTGGTGTGAAGAAGAATCTGTCGCCCACCAGCTTCATGGGAGGACTCCGAGGATCCAGTGAAATGTAACGAAGCCACTGACAGGTGAAGAGGTGCAGCCAGAGTTCCGTCTTACGGGCTTCTGGGTCCAGCAATCCCGTGGGCTCCAGAGGAGGAGTGCATGCAATGCAAGGATGCTTGACAAACAGAATGCCCTTGCCCCTCCCCCCACTTCATTCTTGGTCCACACCTCTCGGCGGACGATGGCTTGCGAGGCGCCAGTGCGACTTGAGGCTCCCCCATGTATCGTGGCCTTTGCTGCTTACCCAAATGAGCATGAGCCTTCGGGGAGCGCGCCCCACCCCAGCCCCACAGCCCCCATACCTGATACAACCTGATGATGTGTGGGTGGCAGAGCATCTTCATGATCTGGACCTCTCTGAATATCTTCTTGAGGTTCTCTTCGTCCAGCTGCGTCTTGTCAATAATCTTGATCGCGACCTGAGAGGGACCAGCAAGACAGGCTATCAGGATGCACAGCGGAATGGCCAGCGGACCCCAGAAGCAAAGGTGATCGTTCCCTAGCCATGCTCAAGAGCGCGTCAGTCCAGCGGAGGCCCCAGAATGGCTCCACATACAAAGCTGTCTTAGCCCAAGTGGCCGCTGCCCCCCGAGCCCAGTCACCTGTATTCCCAATGGGCGGCAGGACCCTTCCCAGCCCAGAGACCATGAGGAACACGCCCAGGCCTGACCCTGCAGCCTTCCGCATGCTCTGCACAGGACTGTGCGCCATCCAGCCCATTTGCCGGGCCAAGAAGCAACCTCCCGGGATGTCTGCAGCCTTGCGCGCCACCCAGCCTTGCTCTCTGGGGGCACAGGCTCCGCAGACGCCTCCCAGCGGCCTTTTACAGCTACGTGACCAGAACACAGGCAACCCCATAAGGCTCCTCTCCAGCCATCTGAACACCCGAAACATGCAAAAAGTTAGCAGCGTGGCCCGCCCACTAGTTCCAGCTCGTGGGGCCAGTGTCCCAGCCCCCAGTGGCATCCATGTTTTTGCATAAAGGGCTGCAGGATCGCAGTCCAACGACGTAAGGACAATTCCAATATTTAGTCAGCAAAGACTGTGCTAGTCCCCTGGCTGAATGCAGATTTCTGCCCTGTTACTGATACGCACGCCTCAGGTACCAGTCCCACTCTAAATCATGTGCTGTCAGTGTCCCAATTAACCAGTCCGGGGTGCCCTTTTTAGATAAGGACTGATCACCACCAGGTGGCATGGCCAGAGGACAGAGGCCGGCAGCTCCATAAGTGTGTTCCCGTTTGTATTACTGGCACAGCATGTCTGCTTTGAGGGGGATCCTGCCTAGCCCCATACAAATGCCAGATTTCTTTGCTCAAACCCAGACTGCGTGTACTGAACTGGTTGCAGGAGTGGGATATTTGTTTATTTATTATATTCTTATCCGGCCTTTTTTCCTTTCCAGGAACTCAAGGTGACTCACATTTCACCTTCTCTTCTCAATTTTACCCTCATGACAACAACCCTGTGAGGTAGATTGGGCTAAGAATCTGTGACTGGCCCAAAGCCAGCCACTGAGCTCCATGGCTCTCCAGCTGTGGGGATGGGCCTAGCAGCACATCACAGAAACAATAAGCAGAGGCGGGTGGCCCCCTCCAGGGGAGCCTGCTGTTCCCCACCCTCTCCATTCACGGCCCTTCTCCTGGGATGGCACGTGCCCTGCTCCACACCGACAGATGTCCTGCTCAAGGCATATTCTCCAGTGTTTGAAGCCCCCCGTTTAAAGGCCTGTTTACACATCTCCATGGAGACTTGCAATTCCATGTGAAACCCAAGTCAGTGCTGCTTTCAGGGCACAGATGTCTGAGCAAAGCCCTTTAACGATGGCCAGTGAAGAAGAGGGTTCTTTCTTGCTGCTTGGCCACCATCAGCCAAATCTTCATCCTCCCACAGCGTGGCTGCCTGAAATGCAGAATCAAGTCTCCCTGCAGCTCCTCTTCCCGAGTTCCCCTTCACCACTCTCCACTCTTTCACAAATTGCCCTTTTCTTGGTGACCCTAAGTCTCTTCAACCACTGGGCAAGCTCTGTCCCACGCACAGGGGGCTCTGCATTTTGCGGCATGGAAAAGCAGCGCTGAATAGGTAAGCAGGCAGCAGGGCACTAGGAAGACTGGAACCAGCTTACTTCTCTCCCCACCCACCAAAATAAGCTTCGTTAAGGGTTCAAAAAAGCAAGAGAAGCCACCCGATGGCCACATGTAGGGGCCTCTGGAAGGCACCTGCTGGCTCGACGTCAGTCATGCTGGGAAAGCAACCTAACACAGCCATCTTTAGCAGACTTCAGACAACCGCCAATAAATCCGGCTGCTCCCATAACAAATGCTGCCCAAGCTGGTGGTCGTCACTGTATCTTGCAGTAGAGAATTCCACAGTTCGTCTAGGCACTGTTTAAAGAAGCTCTTCCTCTGATCTATCCAGAGTCTTTCACCATTCAGCTTTACTGGAAGACTCTGTATGCTAATATTTATATGAGAAGAAAAAACATCTCTCTACCCACCGTCTCCACACCATGAACAACTTGTCCCGGCAACTCAGTCCTCTGATCTGACAGCCCGAAGCATTGCCTTCCTTCATCTCCGACTGCCCCTTTCGACCTGCAATATGGTCCTTGTGGGGCAGAGCTCGGAACTGCAGGTCGCAGAATAGGGACTCACACCAGCAGGAGCCACGCTGATGTATATTCAGCAAAATTTGTATCCTATAACATTACCTGTAATGAAGTTTTTCCACCAAGAGATGTTACCTGACTGGATTTTGATTTCCCAGTTTTCCCCAGATCACATTTTAAAAATTAGCATTACGTTGGCTACTTTCCAGCCCTCTATACAGAGATCAATCTTACATATTTACACACTCTTACAAAGTTACACAGTTAAGTTAGAGCTACATAGTTTTGTGAATAACTGCCAGTTTATGCTGCACCCAGATAGTTAAGGACCGAGTCACTGAAGCGCTTGCTGAACGAGCAAGCCGGAGATAGGCTGCCTCATCACAGAAAGCTCTTGTCGAGACTCTCACCGCAGCACTGCCTGCTTATGAAGGTGGGAGGTGGCGCCTCTGGGTATGCTCCGCAGAGCTGGAAACTTCCGCAGGCAGAAAGAGCCACAAAGGGAAAACTCCCTGGCTCTGCACCTGCCTATTTACGTATTTTATTCACTTCGAGGGATTTATGCTGCACTTACACTACATAACACAGTATAAGCTCCTAATCCCATGGAGGTAGACAGCACATCAGACCTTGCCACATTGTGCCGGGAAGGAATCCAGCTTCGGGAGAGAGGTGGAAGCGCATGCCCACTTCACGCAAATAGAGCATGTCACAGCCGGCAGAGACTGCGCACTGAAAGCTCTGCAATGCTCCTACAGAGGCCTGTTTTGTCTGGCTGGTTCTGATAACAAGCAGGACATAAGCACCGTCACGACAGTGAGGACAGGGCAGCACACGCGGCGTTGTTCCATGCGGTGGGTTCCTTCCCCCACTACCCTGCACCACAAAGTACACGAGACTGCTTCTGGTGTGTCTCGCATCCAGTAACCAAGCGCAGTTGCAAGCTTTGCCCCAGTCAGCCTTGGGGCTTTCATTCCGATCTTGCAAGGCAGCACAGAGCACAGCTCTGCACACCCTGGCAGACACCGGGAAGCAACCATACCCAGAAACATCTTTGTTAGATTAACAGCTCCAAGAAAAACCTGGCTGGCTCTGCCTCTGGATTTCCTGCTATTTAACAAGCTAAAGTGTCAGAAGCTGAGGCCAAAACTATAGATCAACTTCACTGTGTGCTGGACGGGAAAACAGGGGTAAGCTAAGTGGGACAGGAGCTCAGAAAAAAGAACACGCATCAGGCCCCTTACAAAGAAGGCAATTGGAAATCAACATACATATCTTGCCTATCAGTTTTAAGTAGAAGTAACGTTTAGACGGTCTTCCTTGAAATGAGCATCTCCTGGCCACACAACACTCCCCAAACCTGTGCCCACACAAAGAGACAGAGCAAGACCTGGATTCTCCCCTTGTTTCCACTCCAGAAGGTCATTTCTTTCTAAGAGCGCAGAAGGTCCCCATGTCCGTGTCTCCTGACTGGGGAGCTGCTGCTGTCAAGTGTTCCCAAAAAGGGCAACGGATGAAGTCACGAGGCTCACAGGCATCTAAACTCCCTGTGGAAGGTGATGGATCCCTGATCGAGCAATAAGAAACTCATGAAGGCTCAACTGTGCAACAGATGTGGTCCCCCCCCCCCACAAATACCCAGAAAGAAATATAACTGCCCGTGGATGACTCAAGTCTGAAAGGAGAGCTCCCAAGGTGACACGATTCCTGGGCACCTTTGGAAGGGGCAGCATCCTCCAAAGGGAAGCATCTCCCGGCTCTTGTATTTTCTGCTTGTTTTTTCCACTGAATTTCATCCCTCTCTCCCCTGCAATTCTGAATCTGCAACCACAGAAAATTATTCAGCAACTTGCTCAGCCCTTATCACCAGGGCTCTGTTTGCCCAGATAGACAGGAAGCAGAGGCCCAAAAGGTCTAGGCACACCCAGCACCTGCTCCATCCCACAGCACCCAGCAGTCACACAGGTCCGGGGAATGTTGCTGAACCCAGAACTTTCTGCTGAACAGCAACAGCGGCCACTTGACTGGGTCGCCACTGGCTGAGCACCAGCGCGTCGCCCAGTCTTGGGCTGTGGAATGAATTCCAGCGACTGCGGCTTTATGGACTTTGACCAACTGCTCGGAGAAGTGCAGCCCACCAAGCATCAGCTCCGCCTCTGCCCTTCCTGGCTTCTGCATCTAGCAGAAGCTCGGCTGCCTGGGTGCAGGAGGCGATACAAGCGTCTTTGCAGACAGGCTGCGCCATTCTGCCTTGGAGAAGCAAGGCACGGGGCCGCTCCTGGAGAAGCCCTCCCTGGACGCCACGCATGCCGAATACTGGCTGGCTGGACAAGACACTTAAGTAGGTGGCTGCTATAAAGGATAATACTGATCATCACTGCGCCCTGGCTTTGGCACAGAAACCGCCTCAGTTGCCCTGAGAGGTGACTTGCACTAGGTGATGAATAGGATGAATGTGATCCTGCCATTCTTCTGGATCCAGAAGCTGGGGCGAGAGAACTTGGGCTCAACCCCACGGCGACTGTGAGCTGCTGAGTCCAGGAGAGCTCCATCTGGTCTCCTGCACCTTCCCCTGTCAGTGAAGTGTGCTAGAGACTGGGATCGCTGGTGTTCCAGGAGCACGTGTGTTTCCACCCCCCTGCTTATCTTGTTTGTGCGAGCAGCCAACAGGTGGTTCTGGCCAGCACCCACACTGCAAGGGTCTCCCACCATCTGGGACACGAAGGGTAGGGAGAACGAGCTGGCTTGGGCAGCCGACCCTCGGCTCCTTGCCAAGCCCCTGTCTCAAAGCCCAAAATGTCTGTCTTAGTG